ACTTTTCATTTGAGTACCCACATCAATTTTTCATATATTTGATATATTTATAGATATTATATATATGTATGTATGAATAATATATCAAAAATGCATGTTGGTACTCAAATGAAAGCTTTTGATGAGTGTAACATCGGGATGAGCTTATATCTTTAAAAACGTCAATAGTTGAAAAAGTACAGTGCAATTTAACATAATTAAGAAATGACCTTGTATCTTGTGAACTATTGACATTTTTAAAGATATAAGCTCATCCTGATGTTACACTCATTGAGACCTTTCATTTGAGTACCCACATCAATTTTTCATATATTTTATATATTTATATATATGTATAAATGAAAAATATATCAAAATGCATGTGGGTACTCAAATGAAAGCTCTGGATGAGTGTAACATCGGGATGAGCTTATATATTTAAAAACTACTACAGGGTTGCTAATAAATAAATAAAATACTTTCTAATCATTAACATTAATTTTGTCATTTACAAACCTTCACCTCCAGTAAGAAAGTTTGTCCAAAAATTGTCAGCTGATTTTATATTTCTGCAAAAAAAAATATTTTACTAATAATCTAATTAATGTATTATATTTTTTTACGAATATTGCCGATAGGCGTAAGTTGATTAATAAATAAATAAATAAATAAATAACTAAATAACTCAAAAAAGAAATTACAGAAAAAATAATCAGAATAAAACCAATAATTACTTGTCATAGCTGCGATACCCAAATTTATGAGCAAAGCTGTTGATAGTCCAAGTGATATTTAAATTCATCGGATATCGAATCAGCAATTGAGAAATCAATGACCATTTGAAGCTTTGATTAAAAATATAAACCGGAATGAAGATTGGAATAACGAACGCTAAAAGTATCTTCAGCGGAACGTGGTACTTCTCAAAAAACCTGACCACTGGATCGGCCAAGACATCACTCATGTTAACTTCAGCTCGACGTTGACTTACTTCTGGTTGCTCCTTCATCACCAACCACCCGACATGACTGAACCAGAGCCCGCGACTGCTGTCATGCGGATCTGCTGGGGTGTCTGCGTACTTGTGATGGACCCTGTGATCCCTTACCCAGCTTACAATACTATTCTACAAGCAAAATATATTTTCATAATAAAATTACATGAATTAATTCAAGTTTTTATAGAAGAGTTATCTTTACTTACCTGAGCAGCAGAATGATACAGAGCAGCCAGGATGATCCGGAGAGGTAGCTTGGCTTTGTAAGCTCTGTGCGACCAGAGCCGATGTACTCCAGCGGTTACACCAAACTCTGCTAGTACTAACGTGACTAATACTTTAAATTTACAATTATTAGTATTAATATATTAAATATTAATTATTAATTATTAACTAATTTTGACAGTAGCAGGTGTGCAATTACAATTTTTAATATTGTAACAAGTAAGTTAATTAAAAAATGAACTATCGAACACCTGCTAGTTAGTATTGTAAATAAATTTTAAATAATTACCCCATGCTAATAAAATTTTACATTCTAAGTACGGAAAAATAATCGCGTAATATAAAAATAATGCGTGAAGAGTTAACATAAAAAAAAAATTTGGCCAAAGTATATTTTTTTTTAATTCTTGCCAAGACATTTTTTGAGATAGTTTTATTCACAACTAACGATTTCGTAAGATTGTAGTTTACTGAATAAACAAGCGCTGAAAATCTTATCAGTGGGGGCCACTTTTTTTCGGATCTATCGTATCTATTACAGTTCACTATCATGTAATATAATAGTTTTTTTTATTTTTTTTTTATTCAATCTGGTATAATATGCTCATCCGGGATTCAAATTAGGCATTTATTTTCTGTAATATATTCTAAAGAACAAAAAATAATAGAATTAATTAAAACGTGTTTTATTAATGCTATTCTGTTAGGAATTATACAAAGAGGAATGTTAGAAAATTATTTTTAATTAATTAGCGAACTGTTTGCGTCAATTGTCCTTAATTATTCCTGTTAGTCTGTTGACTTTTTTTTTTTTTTTTTTTATATATATATATAAGAGGCCATTAACAGAATTAAAGCCATTGAGATATCACAAGTGATTTAGATAGATGTTAAAATAACAAATATTTGTAATTATCAGTCATTGTGGTAAGCTTTTTGTGGATACGATGACGTATATGCTTGTAATCTCCTCTTTTCCGGGCTATTTACATCACGGTTGAGGTAATAACGTCTTTCGATAACTTTGTCGAAAAATCTACTCAACTTTAGGGAGGATGTAGTACCAGCAGCTAATGATCTTACTTGAAGACAGTCCTAGATAGTAAAAAATTATTTATTAAATTTTAAATAATAATAATAATCATCTATATTATTAAGAGAATAAGAAAAATTTTGTGTCCAGGATAGTCATATAATAAAATCGGTTTTTTTAGTGAAATTTAGTGTCATTGTAAAGGTCTTGACTTGAATTTGTGGCTTTTCAAGAGTTCATATCATTCTCACCGATAGTTAATTTATTATGATAAGTATTTAAGCTGCATTCGAAAATGCTCTGTTTCTAGATACATGATTAAGAAATGACCTTGTATCTCGTGAACTATTGACATTTTTAAAGATATAAGCTCATCCCGATGTTACACTAATTGAGACCTTTCATTTGAGTACCCACATCAATTTTTCATATATTTATATATTTTATATATATATGTATATATGAAAAATATATCAAAATGCATGTGGGTACTCAAATGAAAGCTCTTGATGATTGTAATATCAGGATGAGCTTACATCTTTATAAATGTCAACTGTACCGCATTCGCCAGTCTACAAATTGTCTCAATACTGCTCTTAAAAGGCAATTGGTTATTAGTTTAGTCCTGCCGATTTTTGACTATTGTGCAATCGCACTGACGAACTTGAACCTAAGCTTGGAAAAGAAATTAGCAGTAGCATTAAACAACTGTGTCAGATTTGTGCTGCGGAGGCCACTTGGGGTGCATATAAACGGCCCCAGGCTTGAACTGGGATGGCTTTCACCCCTGAATCGCCGACTATACCTACTTGGCTGTACTTACTATAGCATGCTGATGCTCGGTAAAAACGTGTTACTAAGCCGGAATATTAGGCCAAATCCTAACATTGCTCGGCACCGGGACAACAACAGAACTGACTCGCTCATAGCGCCGATTCCACGTACGTCAATGTACAAGAACTCTTTTCTAGTGCTTGGAGTTGCCTTCTGGAACTCATTGCCGCCTGCTATCTCAAGTGCCGCAACGTTAGGGGAGTTTAAAACTCTCTGCTACAATCACTTGCTCGGAATCGAACAGGCTGAAGTCTTAGGCGCATATTCCGACCAGTAAGAACCTAGTGGTGCTGATGTGAGACGCTCGGCTGTTAAATAGACTATCAAACACAGTGCCTGATGTTGTGCCATTATTTTGAGCCTTTCTAATTATTTTCTTTATTTCTCTTTTCTTTATTCTCTAATTATTTTTTTTTTTTTTCTTTTCCTTGTTATAGCCTGAGCTTTAAGTGCAAACTGATGATAAGAGACCAAAAAAAATAAACATTTCCTTGTTATTAATTTGAAATCATTCTCTATATATATATGTATATCTCATTATCTACTACTTTTTATATTATATACTATTACTTAAATTTCTCACACACTCTGTAATACTTTATGTATCTTTTGGCTATTAGGGGACATTGTCCTATAGCCAGTTAATAAATTACATTACATTACATTACATTATAAAATGAAACTTACAACAAATATTTCATCAGCACCGCATTCTTCTGCAATAGTTGATGACCTTCTATGCAGACTAGATTTGGACTCAATTAAATCTGATTTTGTACCTACGACTAGTATTGGAACCTGTAAAAAAACAATCACAGAAAAAAATTTTAGTAATTGAATTTAATAAACCTTAAAAAAAAAATTAATCGAATATTTAAATAAAATCTGTAACAGATTTTCAAAGTTAAATAAATGTACTTGGGTAGAGCCTACAAATTTTTCAGGATCAAAATCATCAAAGTTTTTATATCGTCCTCCACTTCCGTTTCCTTCTTTACTCAAAACTTCTTGAAGCCATTTCTGTAGATTCTGCTGTGACTTTCTGTTTGACAGATCGTGGACCAGAATAATTGCTGTAGAAACAATTAAATAAGAAAGTTAGCTATATGTTGATCAATATTTTGATAAATTTTATGTGAAAATATAAAAATAAAATACCATGAGTAGGGTTGTAGAACACCTGTCTAGTATTCTGGTGACTTTGGCTACCACCAATGTCCCATAACTCGATAAAATAAGTCTTTTGATTGGGTGTACCTTCTTTGTACTCATGCAATTTAACTTCTACTGAACAGCCGACAGTCCATGATGGATTTCTTATTGGTTTTTGTTCGCAGATTAAATGAGATAGTGACGTTTTGCCGACACCTGTCAAATAAAAATACACAAGTTTAATTATTTATTTAGTCATAGTCATTGTATAATTAAAATTGATAATACTAAAGTTAGCCGACGCTTCTAATTTTTTTTTTCGTTTATTAAATTGGAACAAAAAAATATTTTTAAAAAATTTGCACTTAAAATTTTTTAAATTAAATTTTTCTTCTTATTTTTTTCAATAAAAAAATTTATAAAAATTTTTCGGCTAACTTCATTTTTATTTAAAATTGATGATAATAAAAATAGAAGTCTGACTGAACTTAAAAAAAAAATTTTTAATTAAAGTTCTACATTTATATTCTAAGTAATTGATTATAATTCTCGTATAATTACATGACAATTAATTTAGCAGATATTTAATCATTTTAAGAATTTTTCTAAAAAATAAATTACTGGATAAAAAATTGAGAAAAAAAAATTGACATTTAGAAAATTTAATAAATTAAAAATGCAATTTCTAAAAAAAATTTTTAATAAAATTAAAAAATGGTCAAGTGACCATTTAATTTTAATATCATTATAATTAATATTTTCATTATCAATCAAACTTGTAAGAAAAAAATATTGAGTACAAACCAGAATCTCCAACAACAATTATTTTAACTTTATCAATGGCCGCCATTGAATGTAATTATAAAAAAAAAAAAAAAAATCAATTAATTTTAATTATATCTTCAGTTGATATAATTGTCAATTGTCAATAAATAACAAAATACAAAATAAATAACTTTGTGGTTGTAACCAAGAAACCATGTTTTTATTGTCATTAATCTTTCAACGTGTCATTTCAACAATAACAACAATAGATTGAATTCTCAGCAATCGATAAAAGTTTTCGATTATCGATAGGTAATTATAAAAAAAGATTCTAATCGAATTGATTATAAATTAACATTAGATTTGACATCTGTTTTAATTCTTAATTAAATTTTTTTCACTTTTTCATATTATAAAAAATTGTCAATTGTATTTTTTATGAAAATTAAGTTAGTTGACATTTAAAAATTTTTAAGATTTTTTTTTCATTAAAAAAATGATTACAAAAAAATAAAAAAAAAATTTCATTTGAAAAAAACTTTAAAAACTGTAAGTGCAATTTTTAAAAAATATTTTTTTTGTTCTAATTTAATTATTAAAAAAAAATCAAAAAATTAAAAACGTCGGCTAACTTTAGTATCATGTATGTATTTTTTGACAGATATTTAATTTAATGAATTTAAGCGCCTCTAGTGAGATTAAATGACAACACAACTAGATTTATTTACATTTGGAATTGTTGACTTTTTGAGAACATGAAAATTTAAAATATTGCGCCGATAATTATTATAAATAAATAAAGTACTGAAAAATTAATTTTATTTTGCAGTGATATAAATCTATGACATATATTTATATTATAAATAATTAACTAGTGGAATTAAAGTAGTAAAAATATAAATATTAACTTAATTTTATTTACAATTTTGAGGTTAGACTTTTAATAATATTTATAAAAATTTTGATGATCTAATTACTTTTTTTTAAACTATAAATTTTTTTTCAGATCGATTTTGAATTGATTAAAAAAATGAGTAATGAAGAGTATGTTACTGAAGTACCTAGTAGTCTTAAAAAATTAGCACGACTAGTCGTCAGAGGATTTTACTCAGTAGAAGATGTTCTTATCATTGACATGTTGGTGAGATTTCCCTGTAAGTATAAGTGTATTTTCACTTCACTTTTTATTTTTTTAAAAAACTTTTTATTAACAATTGACACTTAGGTATGAAAGAAGATGATATTTGCGAGTTGTTGAAATTCGAACGTAAAATGTTGCGCGCAAAAATAGCAACTCTAAAAAATGACAAGTTTATCCAAGTTAGATTGAAAATGGAAACTGGCTCGGATAATAAAGCACAAAAAGTTAATTATTATTTCATCAACTATAAGGTGATTTTAATTTATTTATTTATTTATATTGCAAAGAATTAGACCTTGTATTTAATTTTTAGGATTTAATTACTATTGTTGATTAATTTTTTCAGACTTTTGTAAATGTTGTTAAGTATAAATTAGATTTAATGAGAAAAAAGTTGGAGACAGAAGAAAGAGACGCGACAAGTAGGTCCAGTTTCAAATGTACAAATTGTTTAAAAACATTTACTGATCTTGAAGTGAGTAAAATAATTATTAAGTATTTTATAAAAATAATAAGCAAATGGAGAAACATTTGATCATTTTAAAAATTCTTCTTACAAATAAATTGTAGCAAGAATAATTTATCAAAAAATTGTATTTGAATCGTTTATTTGAGAAACCCCCATAAGTCAAAAATACTAAATTTTTCAGGAGAAGCAAAAAACATTTCTCTCGGTTAAGTTTGCATTAACAGCATGAACCAATGATGAATAACAATAATGTTAGTATCCCGAAAAAATATTCGAGCATGAAAAAATTTAATTGTTAATTACTACTATTTATGATAATGATTTGAAGTTGATTGACTTATGGGGTTTCTCACCAAAACGAATAAAATAGTAATAAAATCATTAATATGTTAATTTTTCTCCGTGAATCATTTATTATATTTATAAAATAAAGTACAAAATATGTATTGGAACTACAATTAACGAAATTATAATAAATCATCTATTTTTAAATTCAAATTAGTGAACCGAGAGTCAACAATAAAAAAACATTTTAATTTATCACAATCTATCTTTATAAAACTAAAATTGCAAAAATTATTGAAATCAAAGTCGGCTGCCCAATTTTAAAGCACAGTAACTGCAAAATTTTTATACCTGATTTTTTTTTAGTATTGCTGCATTTTTTATAACTTTTAGACCTTAATTTCAAGTATTTTTTCTTAAAAATATTTATATTCAAGTATTTTCTATTCATAAATCAAATTTTTCATCAATTTGGCGGGTAAACTTTTTTTTTAATAAGAAAAAGTAGAAAAAATTTAAAAATGTTAGTTACTGTGTTTTCAAATTGGGCAGCCGAAGTATTTAACAGTAAATATAATATATTTTTATTTGGTTATCATTAATTTTAGAATTTAAATCAGTTAAATCAGGGTCAACAATAAAACAATATGTTTTTAATTTTAATCCATCAAGCGAATATTGTAAAACTCATCAAAATTCAAGTATTTAACAGTAAATTTAGTTTCTAATTATCTAACAATCAATCATTTTAAAGTTAGTCAGCGAAATCACATCAAACAATAATTTAATTTAATTTTTTTAAACCCATACTGCGAAAATTATGAAAATTTAAGTATTTTCCATTGAACTGAATTTTTCTTCTTAGAAGTTTTTAAAAAAAAAAAAAACAAAAGGAAATTTATTTTTGGAATTTGGAAATTGAATGTTTATTCGAAAAACCCCTTAAGTCACTGACTTATGGGGTTTCTCAAATAAACGATTCATTTTTAGAAGCTCTAAAAAGTTATAAATGCAATTTTTTTAAATTAATTTTTTAGACCTAGTTTATTTAAAAAAAAAAAAAAAAAAAATTGTCAAGTGTTTAATTTTGCTTTATTTATTAAATTACATTTATTACATTATTTACATAATGTAAATAAATAAACTATTAAATTACATTATTAAACGTAATTAATTACATTTATTAAATTAAATTAGAACTAAAAAATAATTTTTTTTCAATTGCACTTATAGTTTTTCAAATTTTTTACAACTAAAATTTTTTTTTTTATTTTTTTGTAATAATTTTTATCAATAAAACAAAAAAAATTATGAAAATTTTTAAATGTCGGCTAATTTAATTTTTATATTTTAATGTCAAATAAATGAAAGAATAATAAAATAAATATAAAAATTAATTAATCAGGCAGATCAATTATTTGATGAAACGACAGGAGAATTCAGATGTACATTTTGTCGAGAAATTGTTGAAGAAGATCAGTCAGCTTTACCGAAAAAAGACTCACGTTTGATGCTAGCTAAATATAACGAGCAACTAGAGCCTATTTACGGACTATTAAGTTCTGTTGATGGAATAAAATTGGCCTCTGCAATACTCGAACCCGAACCTATCGACATCAACACTATCAGAGGGTATAAAATAGTTTTAATAATTTATTTTAAATTGAACTAAATAATAATTAAAAATAATGATTCAGAATTGACACGAAGAAGCCGACCAACGCTCGAGGTCCCGGGGAAAGTTGGTCAGGCGACGCTTCAAGAAGAGGAGGATTCGCCGTTCAAGATGCCACGGTTGATGTCACGATTGCTGATGAGTTTATCGACGACTCTGCGGCTCAGAAGAAGGAGATTCCTGCTTGGCTGCAGAACAGTACGATTGTAACTAATGAGGAAGCTGAAATTGATGCGAGTATTAATCAAGAAAGCATCCTTGATAACGCTGCTGCTACCGCGTCTACTGTCGCAACAACGACAAATAACAAACAAGGGGATGATATTATGTCTGTGTTGCTGGCTCATGAGAGAAAAGGCGCTAATAATAGTGCTAATAATACTGTTAAAAGTGTTATTCCTCAAGAATCTGATGATAGTAGTGAGAATGAAGAAGCTGGTGATATGCAAGCTGTTGAGACAGGTTTGTTTTTTTTTACAATACAGAAAATTTATTATTTTTTATAAACTTAATCTGTTTGATTAATCAATTTTTTATTAATAATAATAACTAGCAACCTTGTAGTCACTATGTGACTGCCGTGATTTGTGAACTATAAATAGATAAAATTTTGCTTTATTAAATAATGACTTCTGTTAAATTGCACTGTACTTTTTTAACTATTGGCGTTTTTAAAGATATAAGCTCATCTTGATGTTACACTCATCAAGAGCTTTTATTTGAGTACCTACATGCATTTTTGATATATTTTTCATATTTACATATATATAATATATATAAATATATAAAAAAATGATGTGGGTACTCAAATGAAAGGTCTTGATGAGTGCAATATAGAGATGAGCTTATCTCTTCAAAAATATCATTAGTTGACAAGATAGCAAAGTCAGTTCTTAATTATTGACATTTTTTAAGATATAAGCTCATCCCTATATTACACTCATTAAAAGCTTTCATTTGAGTACCCGCATGCATTTTGATATATTTTTTATATATTCATATATGTAATATATATAAATATATGAAAAAATGATGTGGGTACTTAAACGAAAGGTTCTAATGAGTGTAATATCGAGATAAGTTTATATCTTTAAAAATATTATTAGTTGACAAGATAGCAAAATCAGTTTTTAATTATTGACATTTTTTAAGATATAAGCTCATCCCGATGTTACACTCATCAAGAGCTTTCATTTGAAAGTACCCACATGCATTTTGATATATTTTTCATATATACATATATATAACATATATAAATATATGAAAAATTGTTGTGGGTACTCAAATGAAAGGTCTCGATGAGTGTAACATCAGGGTGAGCTTATATCTTTAAAAATATCAATAGTTCACTAGATTCAAGGTCATTTCTTAATTATATATCTAGAGACAGAGCATTTTTAAATGCACCTTAAATACTTGAGGCTACAATAAGCTACAATTTTTATCTCATAATTTTTTGATAAAATTAATATTTCACAAGTTATAGTTAATATTAAATTAATTACATAATAATTTGGTACTTCATTCAAAAGCTTATTACCATTATTATCAATTGAAGAATTTTTTAATAATAACAATAATAATAATTTTTACAGGTGATGTAGAAGTAATGGAATCAGAAGAAGATGATGCCGTACCAACAGTATTTGTCGATGGTAAATCAATCCCCATCACCGAAGTGGACAATGATTTGGTACTTAAAATGACTCCCTCAGAAAAAGAAGCATACGTCGAAGTTTACCGAGAATATTATTCGGATATATACGAGTGAAACTTATATTTTTTTCAGACTAATTTTATTTTGATTGCCGCTGATTCAATTAATCACGTATTATTTTGTATAAATAGTATAATAAATTTTTTTTCACTGCTAATCTTGATTTTCTATTTTTAGAATAATTTAAAGATCCTGAGGTAATAAATAGAAAGATAATTTAAATTAAATTTATTTCAAGTATTTATTAATCAACATATTTAATTTATTGTTCAGGACAATTACAACTCATCAATATTAGGAATTGCCATGTTAATAATATTAACTAAACGATTAATATTGGTAAATATTAATAATATTAGTAATAAATAAATAAAATAATTAAATGAAGTCACTTCTGGAGGAACGGGAAAAATATTTTTAAAACTTAAAAATATAATAATTATTAATGAATAATCTTACTTGTATTTTTTTTGCTTGCCTTAGTGATGAGTTTCTATCCGACCACCACTATCGAGTAGAAACTCTAAGACAATAAATAAGTATTATTTTTTAATAAATATTTTTGCTCTTTTTTTGTTCATTTTTTTTTTTTTTAATTATTTTTTATCTGTTCTTCCATTAAAGTTTAATAACATTCAAATAATTTTTTTTCAATCGACCTTATTTAAATTTTATACAATAAATAATTTTGCATTTTTATTTTTAGATCTTCATCCTTCTTTAAATTAATGTCTTTTTGTTTTTTAAAAGGCTTCATCACTAACAAGATTATCTAAATTCTCTGAGAGGATTCACAACTCTCGATCAAGCACCAAGCGACTCTTACGCGATAAATATTGAGTAAAAATAAATTGATTTAATTTAATTATCCCACCTGTAAAAATACCAACAAGTATTTACTAATTAAGAGTCGCAAAATCCTTCAGAGCAAATAGATAGCACCAGCTTGATTGATACTTATTATTATTATTATTATTATTATTATTATTATTATTATTATTATACAACTGGCCGATTAATTTATTCAGGCTCATTGAGACGTAATCGTGCGAAATCTTCAAAGACGATGTTGTCATCGTCGTCATTTGCGTAGCAAGAATTTTCGTACCGGACTCGATCAATGCTTTTGCTTTTCTTCAGATTTTCTTTTTCTTTTTCAGCATTTCCTGCCGCTGGGTGCATCAGCTTGAACGGCACGTCAGTTACTAATTCACCACCTAGAGTACCGCAGTTTAATTTTACCCGGATTGAGTATGAAATTATTATACCCAGCGATTCTGCTGGACATTTTCCCTCAGCAGCCATCGTTGAAGAGGCTAAGTTGACGTCATCGTCCTGTTTAAGGATAAACATATTTTTATAGAAATTAAAATAAAATTTTTTTTAACATAATTAGGTAATTTTTATATTAAAAGACAATCTGACAAGTTTTTTTTTTTGTAAAAAAATTAATTTATACTTATAATTTTTTAAAGTAGGTTAATTGAATAAAAATAATTTAGTTACTAGCAACCTTGAAGTCACTACGTGACTGCCGTGACTAGTGAATTATAAATGAATAAAATTTTTTATTATTAAATAATGACTTTTGTTAAATTGCACTCTATTTTTTTAAATATTGACGTTTTTAAAGATATAAGCTCATCCTGATGTCACACTCATCAAGAGCTTTCATTTGAGTACCGATATGCATTTTTGATATATTTTTCATATATACATATATATATAATATATATAAATATATGAAAAATTGATGTAGGTATTCAAATGAAAGGTTTTGATAAGTGTAACATCGGGATGAGCTTATATTTTCAAAAATATCATTAGTTGACAAGATAGCAAAGTCAGTTTTTAATTATTGATATTTTTTAAGATATAAGCTCATCCCGATGTTACACTCTTCAAGAGCTTTCATTTGAGTACCAACATGCATTTTGATATATTTTTCATATATTCATATATATAATATATATGAATATATGAAAAATTGATGTGGGTACTCAAATAAAAAGTCTCGATGAGTGTAACATCGGGATGAGCTTATATCTTTAAAAATGTCAATACTTCACAAGATACAAGGTCGTTTCTTGATTATGTTAAATTGCACTGTACTTTTTTCACTATCGAAATTTTTAAAGATATAAGCTCATCCCGATATTACCCTCATCGAGACTTTTCATTTGAATACCAACATCAATTTTTCATATATTTTATATATTTATATAT